CTCCCTTGTCATCCTTTTCCTCCCCTCGTCTACAAAACTAGGGTCAGTGCCGCTGTCTTGACGGCTTAAGCCTTGCTTGATCCAGTCCTGAGAGCACTCCTGCAGAGGCCGGCCTCCCGTAGGGACACCGACGCCAGCGGCGACCTGGCCGCGCGCGAGGCGCGGTTTTTCCGCGGAAACGGCAGAGGCGCGATCATCTTGTGTCCACCTCCCAACAGGCATAGCTGCTTTGAGTTCGAGCATGGTGGGTGGCCATTGTGAAGCCATGTGAGGATTGGATCCACTCTTTTGGTTGGGGTTCGCCCCCCCGCAATTTGTTCAGAATGGAAAAGAGGAAGGGGGGGGCCATCTCGCTTGACCATTCCCATGGGTTGGTCAAATCACCAGTGATTTTTGTCCATCACTCATGGGTGGAGCTGCTAGGTGGCCCTCATTCGGGAACCATTGGAATGCTTTCCGACCTGCCTTCGCAATCTTCACAGGAGTTGGCGGCCACCAAAATCCAAAGTCGTGTGCGAGGAAAGCAAGCGAGGCATTCCATTCACGCCGGTGGTCATTCTTGGGGTTTTGAAGACGGAGGAAGTGGATCTTAATTCAGTCGTCATCGTGTGCATGGGTGGGTGTGGAGCTGGGCTTGTTCCATCCTGTTCGAACAAATGCTGAGGGAGGGGGGTACACGAGATAACCTTAGCCAGGACAAATCTAAAGTAATTAAGCACTGACACGCGCAAACAACATGCATAACTTGTAACTATACAATTTATACCTCTAGGGCTGAAATCAGTGACAGAACAAGATGGCTTGAGATGGTTTGATGTGCTGGAGGTGAGTTGACATTTTTTTCTTGGTGCAATTTTTCGTAAGTTGACGCAGGGTTCGAGGCTCTTTTTTGTTATGGACATACTGAGAATTCTTTATGTAAAGGTATACACTCTTGATTCACCTTCCCAAAACGCCCTCTCTGGTATCAGGCAAAAAGTCCAAAGGAAGCGGGCAGGTTCTGGCAGACGAACATCAAAAGAT